GGATTTTATTGATAGTATATTTGGCTAATAGTTGCATTACAACTACAAAGGGCAACCATAGAAAGAGTGTACAACTAGTCACTTATACAACTTTAGTTACTGTCTAATTTAAGTAGTCTGTCTAAAGGTTTTACACTAGCTGCTATACCTGGAACCTGCTTGTAAGTTCTCTATTTAACTACTCTAGTTTTTGTATCTACTCACTTACCTTTGTCTACCAACAATTTTAACTGATATTAGTAAAAATATGTCATAGCTACTAAGTCTTTAAAGCAGTTTTTTGGAATCTTTTACTTTGTACTAAACCTTCTAGAATTTTCTGTATCCTATTCTTACAACTGACTAGTATTGCTATGGCTAAAACTAACACTGGCAGTCAAGATATATTATTAAACTGCTATGCCCTTGTAGAGTTCACACCAATCTTGATACTAACTTTACAATATATCCTTATTACTTTAGTATTCAATTCAAGTTCCACCAAGCTGCCATTTCAGATAGTCTGAAAAGGTAGATCAAAACTATACACTTCTGGTTTACATATTTTGCCAGCATGTATTATTTTCTTCTAAAACCTAGAAATTCTAGCAGCCTGGTTGGTTCATCTGGTCTTTTCTTAAAGACTGACACATTTGCCTAGTTTCACAAGTTTTAGCTTTATTTTATAAGTCTAATCTTAACAGTAATACTATCAAAAGTTCAGGTTACCTCTTTACTTGGGTCTTTCAAAGTGAACTTCTATCTTTCTTCTTTTGGTTCTTATGATTTACATGACCACAAGGACTTATTGTAGGTTTGCACTGCCTGATACTGGTTTGTATTTTTTTGTGTAACTACAGACCTTGTTCCAAAGGACAATGTCATATGAGTGTTATACAAATGCTATGTGACCTGCCAGTCATGCTAGTGCAACACAGATAATAGATATTTTATCTCAACCAATTGTAAGAGACAGTTAACTATAACACAGAAAGGATTTTCAAATTTTCTATTAACACTAAAATTTGAACTCTGGATCTGCTACTTAAGAGTTGACAACCTGACCACTTCAATAGGTTACTATATCTCTAAAGTTTACAAATTTAACAGTATTCTGTTACTATTTAAAAAAGATTTATTTTATTTTTTTTAAATATTAAGATGAGTACTTGTAATCTAAGATTTTATTGATAGTATATTTGGCTAATGATTGCATTACAACCACAGAAGACAACTATAAAAAGAGTGTACAACTAGTTACTTGTACAACTTTAGTTATTGTCTAATTTAAGTAGTCCATCCAAAAGTTCTATACTAGCTACTATACCTAAAACCTGCTTGTTAGTTCTCTATTTAATCACTCTAGTTTCTTTATTCACCTATTTACTTTTGCTTATCAACAACTTTAGCCAATGTCAGTAAAAATATGCCATAGTTACTAAGTTTTTAAAGCAGTTTACTCATATAGAGAACTTTTAACTTTGTACTAAACCTTTCAAAATTTCTGTATTCTATTCTTATAGCTGATTTGATATTGCTATGACCAAGACCAATACTAGCAGTCAGAGTGTACTATTAAACTGCTATGCCCTTATAAAGTTCACTCTAACTTTAGTACTAACTTTATAATATATTTCTATTACTTTGGTATTCAATTTAAGTTTTACCAAGCTGCCAACTCAAATAATCTAGAAAGGTAAAACATAATCATATCTCTGGTTTACATGTTCTTTAGCATGTATTTATTTTTTTCAAAATTTAGAAATTCTGATAACCTGGTTGGTTCATCTGGTTTCTTCTCAAAGACTAGCATATTTGTCTGACTTTATGAGTTCTAGCTTCATTTTATAAGTCTAGTCTTTACAGTAGCACTGTTGAAAGTTTAAATTATCTCTCTATTCAGATCTTCAAGTGGGTTTTCATCTTTCTATCTAGTTTCTGTGATTTATATAATCTAAGAACTTATCTTAGATTCATATTGCCTAATACTAATTTGTGTTTCTTTATATAATGTTGTACAAATGTCTAAACCTTTTAGTCTTACTAATATAACATAGATTACAGATATTTAATTTTAACCAACTATGAAAGACAGTTAACTATAACACAGAAGAATTGCAAATTTTTGCTATTACTAGAATTTGAACTTTAGACCTGCTACTTGAAAGTTGACTACCTATCCACTTTACTAGGTCATTACATCCCAAAAGAGATCTATTTCAAGAAAAGTAATTTATATAATATTGTAAGAAATTTTACTTGTAATAAAATTTTTTATATAACAGGACTGAAATTATAATAAGATATCAAAATAGAATATAATAATCCAAAAAAAATGTACTAAAAGCAATGTTTTATTATCTAGAATTAATTAGAATAATAAGTTAAAAACTAAATTTAATTCTAAGATTTTTTGATCTATTATCTAAGAAAAAAATTAGATATAAAAAAATACAAAAAGCTAAATAATACAATATATATTAATCAAATTTTTTATTAAAAAACAATTTAAAAAGCCAATAAAATTTAAATTAATTATTATACTAAATTTAATTACAATTTTTTATAATATTTATAAATAAATAAAGATAAATAAGATTATAATAATGAAAGTAGAGATATAATAACTTGGTAAAGTAGATAAGTTGTCAACCTCTTAAGTAGTAAATTAGATATTCAAATTCTATTGATAGTAAAAATTTTATAACTACCTATGTAATATTTGTATTATGACAACTGTTTCTAATAATTAAATTAAGATATCTGTAAAGATAGTTATATCAGCATAACTGATAAGTTATAAGACATCTGTATAACTAGTTTTATAAAAAAATACAAACTAATATCAAATAGTGCAAACTCTAAATAGCTATATAAATTTGTTGAAATTAGAAAATAAGAAGTTTATTTAAAAAAACCTGAGTAAAAAAGTAGTATAAATCTTTAACAACACTACTGTAAAAGGCTAGACTACTGAAAACAGATACCAATGTTAAAGTATCTGAATAGGCAAAAACCTTTAAATTGAAAGTCTTGAAAGTATTACTAACTAAGCTGCTAAAATGAACTAAAGAAAAAGAATATTAGACTAATCTAATATACCAATAAACTGGTCATAATTTTATACAGACTATTTGAATTAAAAGTCTAAAAAACAAGTAATAATATACTAAAATACTAGAAATATGCTATAAAATAGATGCTAAGGTTCAAGTAAACTTTATAAAAGCATAGTAATTAAAGATAAACTCTGGCTGCAAATGTTAGTTTTGTCATAACAATACTTAAATTAACTGTAAAAATAAATACAGAAGGCTTTAAAAAAGTTTACTTTAATGATAAAATAATCTTAAAATTAAGATAATAACTTGAATATAACTCAATAATATTAACACAAATACAGGTTTAGAAAGTTTAAAATAAAACATTTAAGCAAAGATATTAGATATAATAATTGATAGAGAATTTTTAGATAAACATCTTAAATAGATAATATAGAAAAGTTATATATATAACTAATTCTATATTCTTCTTGTAATAGTTTGCAGAATCATATTATTAAAAAAGTTATTAATAAAAATTAAAAGATCAGAAAGATCATTTTTTTAAATAATAATAATAATAATAATAAAAGTTTGATCAAATTATTTTTTACTTTTGATTTATTAATGCAAACTATATTATTTATTTTAAAAAAATATTTTCATCTTATTTTATTAAATAAGTTATGTTATATAAATTTTTTTATTTAAATAATTCTTAAAAAAAAATTTTGAGTACAATTTAAGCATGCATATTGCTTAGAAAGAGCTATTCATATGCAATTGCAAGTGTTTAAACTATCATTAAAATAAAATATAAAACACTTTTTTTACAAATGTTTGAAATTTGTGAAATTTTAAAATATCAAAAAAAGCAAACTTTAAAGAATATCAATTACTAAAAATATAAAATAATAAAGAAAATTTGAATAGTAATCACCTAAACAGAGTAATCCAAAATAACATCAAATGTTAATGTTTATTTTTGAGTATTAAAATAAACTGCTAGAATTAGACTAATTTTATACTTATTTTATACTAAGATATAAACTAGTTTCTAACTAATTCAGAATCAGACTTTTTTTAAAAACTAGATCTAATCTCATAGGCAGAAGTTTGTCTGATTGGCTAATAAATTCAATTTAATTTTATATACAGTTTAAAGTACTTTTTAAAAAAATAAAACCTAATCATAATAAAATAAAAAAAGCTATATAGAAAGTTTCATTAGAGCTATAGGGCTTTATAATTAAAAATAGATATAATTTTCATTTGTTTAAAAAAATTAGCTTAGTAATAAGTTGATTTTATTAAGCTTTAAGAAGTTATTTACTATACCAACTTTTTAAATGAATAAGAATTAGATCTTATTTTTGTCTATTAAGTCTCATAGTTCTAATAAAACCTTCTATACAGTTTTTTTTTATTATTATAATTAGTTTTTGTTTTTTTAAAAAGTATTTTAAACTATATAAATAATGTAAAATTAAATTGAATTTATTAGTCAATTAGACAAACTTCTGCCTACTGTAAAACACTATGTAAGGTACTCTTTTAATTTGTACTAGATATGTTTCAAGATTATTAGATGCAGTATTTTGTAAGATATCTGTATACAAATCAACAACAATAATTTTTCAGTTTTCAAGTTGTTTATTTGAATTTTCCTTTTATAGGTTTCAAATATCAGACAAACTTCTTTGTTTATTTATTAACTGTACCTATACCTTCTTTATAACAGATTCTTTGATTTTTAGAAAAGAAGGCTTTGTATTTGTGTATACTGCAAATTGAAAATGCACAATCATAAATGTATTTAAATCAAAAAAAACTTGTAAAAAAAAAAAGTATTTAATAATTCAAGTTTATAATTTAGTCATACTACTATTCAATTATTAATATAATATTTATAATTTTAAAGTTAATCACATTTAAATATTGAATCTAAAAACCTTATATCTTCATAATATAAGAGGTTAGATGGTAAGTTTATTTAAACTTTATTAAACTTATTGATTCTTGAAGTTGTTTATCTTATTCTAATTATAATAATGTTCAAATTTTTCCTAATTTAGAAAGTTTTGATAAGCCAAAAAACTTTGTAGTGGTTGAGATAAGAAGCTTTACTAAGGTGGAAGATCTTGTTAAGATTGATGTTAAAACAAAGAATTTGGTTAAAATAAAAGGTTTTATTAGTGCAAAAAATCTTGAAGAAGAAGGTATTCTTGAAAAGAAAAATATAGTTAAGATAGGAGGTCTTAAAAGTTTTGTTGAGGCAGAAGATCTTAAAAGTCTTGTTAAAGTAAGAGGCTTTGTTAAGACAAAATGGTTTGTTCTAATTTGAGATCTCATTAAAATAAAAAGATTGTTAGAAAGTTTATTAAATTAAAGTTGTGAAATCATGTTTTTTTATTATTAAAAATAAATTCATCAAATTTCATTATTGTTATTAATTTTATTATTGTTATTTTCAATACAATTATAATTAAAAATTAAATCATCTTCTGATCTATCAGTTGCAACTAAGGTGTTACAACATTTAAAAAAATTTTGAATTAACTAAGTATCAATAATACTTCATGCACATTTAACCCATTCTGCAATTAAATTATACAGATAACATTTAATTTAACTAAATTCAGTTAATTCTTTTATTTCTTGTGATATCTATTCATTATACATAGATCTAATTTATTAATAAAAAGATACATTAATATATATTAATTGTAAAAAAAAAAACACCTTTACTTTAAATAATTTGTTAAGCAATACATTGAGTGATTGAAGTTTTGATATTAATTCTTCAAAAATGATTGTAATATTAGTATTTTTTTTAACAAGCTTATTTTTAATAAAAAAAACTATATTATCTCAAAAAAAATCTATTACTAAAAATAACTATAGATTCTCAGAACATTGTATATGATTTTGCTAAATTTTATTTATCTAAAAGCTCATTTTTATTTCATTCATCCATCTACTTTTATTAGCTCTAATAATTATATCTGATGAAAACTCAAGCTGTAGAATATTCTTTAACTTAAAAATAATCATTAAAAGTAATTTTCTACCATCTGCCATACATGTAAGTACAAAAGTAAAATAAGATTTTTTATATTCACATGTTCTAATACTAATGGTTTTATTGTTTTTATTATCTATAGTTATGTTGCTTAGCATATTAAAAGAAAGAGATGTTTCATCCATATTACTTATTAATAGTGTTATAGAACGATTTATTATTATTTTATTATTAGTTATTATTATTATTATTATATTATTATTATTATATTAT